GTTTCCTTGACCATTCCTGGAGGATCCCGCATATATTCCTGCTTTGGGTTAGCAGGCCAACCTACAGCCTGGGCTCCTCCGCCCAAAGCAAATACCAAAATATCCCCCCCACACCCCACTCCGCCTTCCCCTGAGCACTGGATAAAGTCAGTTGGCAGCTGAGCATGCAGCAGCACACCTGCTCGCCTTCTTTACAGGAAACAAGGCTCAGCAGCAGTGACCCCCATCCCACACCTCGACCTTTTTCCAAATAAAAATGCAGCCTGATTTCTGATACAGCAGGAGCTATCTCGCCTCTTCCCAACATGGACAATCTGATGGCCAGCAGAATTCCTGCCCTCCCACGTCATCTGCACCAGCAGCCTTTTAAAAAAAGGGCAACTTTATCTGAAAGAGATTAACTGCAGAAGCATGGCAGATAAATGCTTTCAACAGCAGGTGCCAGATGATTGTTCAGTTCTTCACAAGAGAGACCTCTTGACTTTTTGTTGTCCGCTGTGTAGTGTGATCAGGAATCTGTCCCTTGCCATGCAGCAGTGCCTTGCATGAGTCACCCCACCACTCTGCTTCCCCATGGACCTCTCCCAGGAGAATTAAGACCACTCAGCTTTATGTCAGTCAGTGATAAGGATTATAGAGTCAAAAACTACTGAAAAAACCCCAAGGTGGTAGCGAGATAATGCTCACAGCTTTTTCTACCAGTTCCTCTCAAGTGACATTTAAATACCCCTTGAATGCAAATCCCATAGCTTAACTTTTACAGAGATCAGAGTTTCTTATTTTTTTGTCAGATAATAAGGGTTAACAGACATATCGGGCACCCGCGCTCACCCTAGAGGAGTCATGCTCTGAATTTGGACAGGACAAGAATCACAAGGTAAAAGGACTTGCCAAAAATTGTTCATCTAAAAGTACTGGTGGAGGAGGATTCAGTTATTAATATATTATTAATATATGCTACTATAATTAGCAGCTGGATCCTTAGAATGAAGGAACAAAGAATGAAAAATAAATTCCTCTTGGGAATGAAGCAGAAAAGAGAAATGTTTGCTAGACACATGTACCTTACACGTCAGTGAACTTTCTTTATCTGAAAAAAATTTCTAGAGGAAACTTTAGAGGGCAAGAAGCCAGGCTGAGCACAGCCATCAGCCCCAAAGTTGCTAAGAAAACAAGCCCACCTCACGCCTACTCTTGATTTATCTGAGAAAGCGGTCAAAATACATTCAAAAAAATAAGGGAGAGAGGTGTTTCCTGTCTTTAACAGCTTGCCTGATGGCAAGTGCTACCACCTTGCTGGAACCTTCCCAAGGAACAGGAAGAACAAATACAATTGCAGAATGCAATTGTATAAACAAAGTGGCTTGTGGAAGGGGGTGGAGGGGGAAGAGGAAGGACAAATTAAAATCCTAATTCTTACAAAAACAGGCCAGATTTCAAATTCAGGAGTGTCCTTTTAAACTGGTCTCACAACTGAGAACACAGACTTGCGTTTCAGAAATTCTCAGGCAAAGCTTGTCTTACCCCACGTAACAGCTACCCACAAGCTGCAGGCTGCATGGTAGCCTTTCAAACTCTTCTGGGAACCAAAGCTTTCACATAACATGAAGGGCTTCAGAGACACACAGACCCCCCCCAGACCCTTCTTCTCAGTACCAGATGTCTCATGGCACAAGTCACGTTCCAGCTTGGCAAGACCTCCAGCAGACCCCTCTCCACGCACAGGGGACACGGCTCCAAGCAGCCTCCAGCGCACAGGGAGCCTGCGACATCAGGAGCCCTCTCGAGAGGGGCTGCAGCGTAGGACTCCTGGGAGAAGATGTGACCAGAGCCCTGCACTGAAACTACATGGACAAGGTCGCAGATAAACTTTGCAAAGGAGCTGTCGGTGGCACTAGAGGCCGCTGTCATCCTGGATGAAGGCGGATAATCCAGCAGTGGGCTGCAACCGAGAGGACCCCCCTGAGTCCCCACCACCTGCTTGCACCAAATGGAAACCAAAAGGATGTTAGTTTTGCTCCATGAAGAACAGGGTCTACGTTAGATACTGCAGGCACAGCATCCACGCGCTTGTAACTGACCCTCAGCAGAGCCAGTGCTGTTTTGAGTTCAGCTGGACAAATGCATTTGCAATGCGAGACAATTTGACGCTGGCAGGAGATCATCAAAATGGCCAAACAGCAACATTCATCAGTGGCTCCAAAATTCCCATGAAAAAGAAAAAGAAATTGCCTGGCAAAAATACTGACTTTGGAAGATGGCATGTTTCCAGCCTATCGGTATCAGCACGCTGCAGTGCTGCAGCAGAATTAAGGGAGGCTGAATGTGCAGCTGGGTACATGTAAATACACACGGCAGCAGCTTGGCTGAATGTCCAAGACATATGGCTCTAACACCAGGCAGCAATTTGCTACAGTCCATCCAGGTAGGCAGACTGCATTGCATTCCTCCAAACTGATTTCTCCTGTGCTGCCGCCTTTTCTGTTTTTTCTTTCTTCCCCTTTGAAATGACATGAGGCATGATTCACACTATTTTGCAGCTACCGGAGTGTTTGCTGACCAATTTAGCAGGCAAACAAGCAGCAGGTAGAACACCAGGGATGAAACACTATGGTGAGCCAAGGTAGGGCTTGTTGGCCACCAAAGGATGCAAAACAGCACTCCAGAGCACTTTGCTAGTTGTCTCTCCCCAGACCTAGCAGTCTCTGCTGCTTTAACCTTTTGGCTTCACGCAGATAATTTAAGGCCACAAGTTAGGAGACATCCCTGTGATCTAATATTAGATGATAAGCTTGTTTATGTTTTTGTTGCTAAGAGAAAGCTGGAGCTTTGGAAACACTGAAGCAGACCAAATGCTACTGCAACAGCTGCCGGTGGGAACTGAAATCCATGTAGTGCTTCCTTGACAACTGTTTACCATTTCCCTTTTTTATTTTATTTTATGGGAATTGGTCTCCTTCCAAAATAAGCTTTTCCCATTTAGGTGACCTCTCCTGTTTCTCTAGGTCCATGCTTCCTAGTTCAAAATGTGCAGGCAGTTCCCCAGTCAGTACATCCTGCTGTTAGAACACACATTCATAAGTAAGTTTTCCTCTACCCACAAGCACAATGCATCATTGCTGTGCTTTTTTTTTTTTCTCTCAGTAGTTTCAGAGCATCAATTAAAGGTGGAAGGAATTTTCTGGTGTTTCTCTTTACATTACCATAAATCACAGGAGATGGTTTTCTAATAAAAATGTAGGAGACTTAAACAGATTTCTATATTATTTATAGAAACTGATTTGGCAATAAACACCAATGCAGTAATATTAATAGATGCTCTTTTGGGCATCTATGAGTACTATCACAGTCAAGTTCCCTGTCTGCAGACAGTGCCAAAAGTCTGGTGGGTTTTGTGGAGCCCACTTCTCCGGGGAAGAATCTAAAGCTTCTGCAACTTGATTCTGAGCTTGCCAAAATGGAGATACTGTTGTGAAACAGTCTGAAGTGTGAAATGAAAGCACAATACTCACTCTGTCCTCTTTTGCACAATCTCACTTTGCCCTGGGAGTATCTTTTGGCAGCTCATCTCAATTCAACCGCAAATGACACCAAGCCAACTGACCCCATGCAAAATGACAAGGAGCATACAGAAGCACTCCTAATATTAAACGTAAGTGTTCTTACAAAGATACTTTTCAGTAGCTATTTCAAATTATGTCCCTGCTTACAGAGTTGATAAATGTGGCTCATCCAGAATGCTTGCAATACCTTCAAAGCACTCCCTGTGCTAGCTCTGGAAAAAAAGAAAAAACAAGCCCAAACACCATTAAGAGTTTTGAGTATTTTCCAAATAACACAGACCACCTTCTTTCTTCGATCTGATGCAGCCGAAGCAAAGAGAAGCCCACAGCAAGCATGCCCTCCCTCGTCACATGGCTGACTGCAGATTACATGGCACTGCTGAGCTCTACCATCTTCACCTTTGCAAGCTGATTATTTCCATTATTGCTTTTCACATCCTTTGGCTTCAGGCCATTTAAAATATATCAGAGGGCTATCTCCACTCAGGAAGGTCTGTATTTTAAGAAGTTATTATTTTAGTTTGAAAGAATCTAATTACTCAAAACACTCCATGAACTGGTTCCTAGTTAGAAATACACAGTTCCTCACTGCATTTTATTTATTACCATTTACTTTCATTGATGCCATCGGAAGAGACAGATTTTGCAAAAGTTAACCTGTTTGCAGGAATAAATAGGGATCATTTGATACTCTGTACTTAAATGCACAGGGTAAATTTCCTTTGAAAAGAGCACCAGCTACCCCAGGTTTATATTTCCCCAGTCTTAAAATAACATATGATAAGAAAGAGATACCACCAGCTAGATTCAGAGTAATTCCAAATGCTGCTACTGCTGTAATAGCCTTGGTTGAACATGGCAGACTTCTACCTCTGTGCTAAGTCTTCCTTCTAGTCAATCGAAAGAAATGCATGCTGCTAGAGTGCAGTCCATCTCCTCCTGGATCACACAGCTACACACTCCAGGAATGTTTTCCCCCCACTAACAGCAGAGGGAATCCAGGGGACTTGTGCAGCAAAGATGTCTCCATTGCGGCACATGTAAACTTAGCTGAGCAGAATCACACGGATGGATTTTACCTGAATGTGTCTCAGTCCAACGCTCTTTTTAGGATGGGATTCATGTTACAGAACCTACTGCAAGTAGCTACTGGGCTGTCTGTCCCTCTATACATAGAGGCCTTAGGGACTGAGATTAATAGCCAAGATGACTACTGAAGAAAAAGGCTGAGATATTGAAAAGACAAGTAGAAAATTATGAAACTAAATTTAACCTACAAGCCAGTGATGACTCAGTTCAAAACCTTAAGATGGAGCAAGGGGCAGCAGCCTGTAACTCCATGTAGCACCTAAGAAACAGTTCTTACACCCCCACCATCACCACCACGTGAGACCTGATCACAGAGGACTGACACACATCGGCACTCTGCTCACTAACCTTCTGCGCTCCCTGGCTTCCTCAGCTGAGAAGTCCTTTCCTGTAGTTGAGGCAGCACCGGCATTCGCAATACCATTAGCAGAGCCGAGTATAGCACGATTTGTGATTACACCTAGGGGGGTGCTAGCAGAGATGCCCTCTGTATTTTTCTCTACAGCAGAATCAGTTTGTTGCCTGAAAGGGGCTCTGAAATAGAGAAGACATAATGGAAAGCAAAGCAAGTGAACTCAATTGCTGTCCAAGACCAGCCAGCTCAAGGAAGCATTGACAGTTCATTCTCCTTGTTCTAGACTTGTGTTTTTGTAGAGAACAGCACACATTAAAATGAATTTTTAAAAATTTGTAGAAGAATAAGCAGGAGGAATTCATAGTCTTCACATCCCTGTTTGTAGCAAAAATGATTAGAACAATGCACCTGGTGAATAAGCAGAAGGAATGAACTCCAAGAGCTTGTACGCTGAACGCCCAAGAGCAGCCTGAGTAACACATCATGTCTCTAACAGGGTAGCAAGAGGGCACAATTGACCACTCCAGTGAGTGAAGAAGCTAAGGTCATATATGGGCTGTTAACTGCCTGCTGGTGCATATGCACTACTGAAACCGTCCAACATAACCATTCTGGGATTTCTTATCAGCGCTTCCTGCATGGAAGTGCACTTCCAATCCATCATCCACTCCAGAATTCAGAACTTCCAACCCGAATGCTGATTTTGTGCAGCGTTATCTCAGCTGTGAGCTGTTACCTGGTATACTGGCGGGCTGATGCAGTAGTGTTCACACCGAGAGATGTGGGACAGGAAGAGACAGGTTGCCACGGGGTGCCCAATGAGGTAGATGAACCAATGGTAGTGGGTGAGGTAGCTAGAGATGTAGTGCGACTGGCTGAAATGTAGGGACTGCTGAGGTCACTACTTCTACCAAATGAAGCACTGTAAAACATCACAAAATCACGTCCTTCAGAGCACAGTAAATATTCAACAGAACATCACCACAACTGGGCTCTCAGCTGGAAAGGGAGCAAGTATTACATCTTAGCAAAACATATGCAAGGAAATTAGAGCCCATTGGAGTTGCTGCAGGTCGCTTACGCAGGCTAGCGCTAGCAGCACCCCTCTTAGCTAAGCCCAGCTGAGTTTCAGTGAGAGAATAACGGTGTGAAGGTGAATTGGTGAAGACCAGGGAAGGGAAAAACCCTACCGCAGTGAAAGCGGTGCACACAGAGCACTCCTGTGTACTGGTGAAAAGTAGAAACAATGAGCAAGGATGAGGTTGCTTAAAGCAGGGAAGGAGAGAGAGTGACATAAGCAGGTGGGGCTTCATGACCCCCTAAGGATGCCCAGGATGTCCAGTTTTAAGAACTTGTTTTCAGTGGCTTAAAGCTTTGGCAAAGATGATCAGTTCAGGCTTTAATTTTCTTTAAGGCATGTTTGGCACAGACTCTGTATTTCTGGAAAATAGCTAGCAAAACTGTCCAAAAAATATTCAAGAATGAGCAAGGGAAATACATATTTTGCCAGTTTAAAACAAAACCCTTAAAACCATTATTACTGGAAAGCTGTAAGTGTTTAAGCGCTCATACTTTGGAGAAGAGACAGGAGAGAAGGAGAAGGGCTCTCATATGAGGATGTACCCTTTCCCTTTTTCAGAGAAAATCCAGCCTAAGTGGGAGAATTTGCACACCTCTAAAGACAGACTTGATGAAATCTGGCAAAATCTCCTGTTGCACGTGCCAGAGCCTCATATACAGGCTGCTCCTTGTCTGCACAGAGCAAACGAGCATGCATGCATGATCTAGGATCCTGCCACACCTTTCCCAGCAACTGGTATTCCTGGTTGCTACTGGTCAGACTGCGCTGTCTGCAGGATCAAAGGCTAAGAAGGCTGGAAGGCTGCCTCTCACCTCCTGCATCCTAATAACTCCCATGCCGGTGCACATGGAGCAAAAGTGGTTGCACCAGGAGTAAAAGCTGACCTAGAGGAAAAGCAGACCAGGACAAACAGCTGCAGGATTATGGGAAAGCCAGGGACAACAGACTGGAACTGAACACCAGAGCAAGAGTCAGAGAGAGCAGCCCGAGGCTGAAATAAAATTTGAAAGGGGCAGTACAACAGCCAAGGACAGGAGGTCAGAAGAAGGATCCAGTCCAATTCACTTAGGCACCCAATTTACAAATCAGTTTTATGTGCCAAGGACCCCAGCCAGCCCAGAACAAGCAGCTGGTCCCTAGACAGCCAGAGGAGAGAATGGGGCATCCTGGAATGCCTCCACAGGGAGGAACCTTACATTTGGGCTCTTCAGTTGATGGCTGCTTGCCACATCCAGGTCACAAAGGAACAAGCAAGTTATTGTCACCAGGTAGCAACCTCCACCAGACCCTAAACAAAGCTTCCTCTGGAATGCTGGCCCCTGCCTGGACTATGGGGGAGCAGGAAGTCCTGTTGGAAGCATGTACCTCCCTTCTTGGCTCTCTGCACCAAAGGAAAAGGCCAAGCCCTGGAGAGGGCTGGGAGGAGGGAGCTAAGCCTGGCTGGTGTGGGCGTGCAGAGCAAGCAGCCGTGAGGTTGCAGAAATGAGTGTACTGAGGAGATGATGGTAGTGGAGCGTGCACCAGGGGAAGGAACAAGAGGAACGGCAGGGGAAGAGGTGGTGGCAACCCTGTGGGGAGCAGGGTTGACGTGGCACGATCCTAGGAGAGCCCAAAGCAGAGAGGGTGGGGCACGAGGGGTGGCTGCAAAAAAGAGAAGGAACTTGGTCAGGGAGGACATGGCAGGGTTATTAAGACCTGACAAGGACTGTCTTTCAGAAGGCAAAGGTAATGAGTGAAAAGGGGAGACAAGAGGATGGAAGCAGCACCAGGTGCCTGGGAGAGCAGAGATGTCAGGGAGCTGAGAGGGGAAGGAGGAGGAGGAATGGAGGAAAAGAGCATGGTGATGGCACTGCCAACTCCTACACGCACATGCCCCAGGTCGGAGAAATGTGCTGCTGGAGCATCACGCGCACACTCCTGCTCACAAGGAGAGAGCCAAGGCATTGCCAGCTTTACAGGAATTCATCTCCCCACCCTGTCATCTTGCATGAGTAGCATTGCACAGTTTGAGGAGGACTAAGGCATTTATTCAATTGTTCACATTTGATCTGAACAGGACCAGAAAATTGCAAGAAAAAGGTTAGCCGGGGAATCTTCTTAATTAACATCTGTGTTCATATGAATCTGTAAAAGGGAGGATTACAAATTTATGCTAAAGAATTCAACACTGGAAATAAAAAAAGGCACTGACACACTGCTACTCGTTCTCTAACATAATCACCATAACATAACCATCAGGGAACGAGCAATGAAATGGAAAGAAACATTTCAAATCAATAAAAAGCAATACTTTAGAAAACAGCTATGGCAAGTAGAATTCAAAATCTTAAAAACTTTCAAAACCTTAAAAAAGCTTCCACATATGCTAATAAAAAAGGTTTGCACAAAACTCTTAACTATCTTTTTTGAACACACTGCCATAGGGTATTGCAGAGATCAAAACAGGATTTGCTTATGGAAGCTGGCCACAGTGGTGGCTTTTAAGAACAATGGTTAAGTATAACCCCTAAATTAATGATTGCTGGAAGTAAAGGGAGTGTGGGAGGTGGAAGACTGCTCTTAAGTTATCCTAGCTTTTGCAACTTGCCCTTCAAAACCGGTTGCTGTCAGAAACAGTCTGGAATGCACGGACTGTTGGCCTGAATCACTGCATGGGTTTTTATGTGAACAAAACCAGTAAGGCGGCGTATATGCAAATATGTAAAATGAAGGAGAAACTAACTGTGTGAAAAAGTTATTTCATTCTGGTGTGTGTGATCCCTTCCTGTGAGGTATCACTCATGGCTGATGTCAAAGGAAGGATGCTGAATTAATTCCATCTGCTATGCCAGTTTTCCTCCAAATCCTTTAACATACAGGCGAAGTGAACTGGCTGTTTGAAGGCCAATATGCACTAACATGGAGAACAGGCTGTCAGAACAGGGTTCTGTGAATTTTTGGGCTAGTGGTACACCCATAGAGAAAGCAGAATGAATGACAGTCACTACCATTACAGAGAGAGCGTTAACATTTGCTTCAACTAAAGCTGAAGAACATTTGCAACATTGCTGCAAGTTACCTTGTTCCCTTTTAGAAGAAAAGCCATTTTCAACATCTTAAGATGATCTGTTGCTGTTGTTTACTCTTTGTTTGGGGGGGTCATATAAAGCCCTTATAGAACATAACTAGGTATCTTTATGGACATTAGTTAAATGCTAAGGTAAAGGGGAAATGCAGATGTACAGAAGTCATCCTCTCAGTAACATCCAAGTATGTCATGTTCACTTTAATTCTTCCTCTCGCAGAATGAGCTTTTATCTTTTGGAGTTGTGATCAGAGTTTTGTTAATATTTGGAAATGACAAAGAGCTTATCCCTAACAGGCAACCAGGTGCCTTTCCTCATCTTAGAGGCTGATGCACAAGGCTGGAGAAATCAGAAGTTCAATATGATTATATTTAATTTCTCTGTGCTCTCCTGTAGAAAACCATACAGCATAGAGGTCAAATTGATCATGATTTTACTGTTTGTACATAAAATGCAAAACCATTGATCTCTTTAAAAAAAGTACACTTTATTCCTACCTGGCAAAGCTATTCTCTGTAATTGCTTGTAAACCAACACTCTCCTATGAAAGGCCAGAATTCAGCCTTTGTAGCAAGAAACCGGTATTAGCGACATACCACTGCCAGCCAAAACCTTCACTAGTCTCTGTACAGTTTAACCAAGGAAATACAGTACAACTATGTGAATGTAATACTAAATCTGGTTCTGGATTAGCTGAGATAAACAGGCAATGTTTGTAAAATTTCAACAGACAGCCATGTGAGTGACTGGACTGTCTCTCAGACTAGGGAACAGTAAGGCATGCCAGCTGCAAGAGACAAAATTTTTCCAACGTAATCAGCTGCGGCTTGTTGGACTGCCTTTGGAGAGAGACAAGCTATGGAGGTTGGCCTGTCATCATGTCCCAGGATAGATGTGAAGTCACTGGAATAGATCAGCAGATCAGGAGAAGTCTACTGCTTGAAGTGGCTGTCTGTTTCACGTTTTGTGTAAACGGGTCTGTATATGCTCAGCAACTGGACAAACACATACTCGAGCACAACTTAACTCTACCAGCATAAGTACTAGAACACAAAAACTCCGCATCTTCCCAGATATCTCAAGCAATTGTTCCACCTTCAGGACAGTTATTTAGTTTGGGGTCTACTATTTGGTGAAGCACAATCTAAAACGTTGAAATATTTCTGCCCTTTTCCTTAAGCACAGTTCAAATGGCTTTCCAGTGTGACATGTTTATACATGTTGTTTTGATGGTTTCCAGTATTAGCTAAAATAAAGGTGAGGTGATGGCACTGTACTTGCACAAAGAGCTGATCCTCCTTCTCACAACTGAGATGAGAATTCAGTAATGTATTATTTGCCTTAACAGAGCAGGGCATTCATTCACCTCATTCAGAGACAGCCATTATCTGGTACTTCAAGGAAACTGAGCCTCTGCCTTCCAAAGGGGTAAAGGATACTGTCAGTTAAAGAAGTTATGCACAGGATTGCTTTCCTGATTCTGCTTGGCTAGTTTACCAACATTCAGCCTCTACAATTTCACATACACTGTGCAGAAACTGCTTCCTTACTGCCACAAGAAAATGGTTGGAGACATCAGTCTTACTCCTTAACAAGTGCTGTAAGTCATGCACAAGAACACCGCCACTTTTCTGATAATGATGCCATAAACATGGACTAATATAAACCAAAACTAAAGATAAGCTACAACTTACCTGTCAATAGTTATTTGAACAATGCTTTCAGACCGTAATTACTTTATTCTCTTTTTATGATCAATTTTGGTTTTATTATCTAACCATAATACTAGCATAAAACTGAGAAAACACTTTGCATTTGAATTATGTGAACAAGAGTATTTAAATTCAGTTCAGCAATTTACAAATCAACAAAAATGATGGCCTTTAAAAATACTATTTAGCGTGACAAATGTCAGCAAACCTTAATTTTTATTTCCTGCTCTCAGCAGAAGAGTCCCAAAGCCAGTTACACTGATGCAGTAAGCAGCAAGCAGGAGGCTGAAGTTTGGGAGGCATGTTAAGAGCAGAACTGACTGCCTGGGAAACCATGTAAGAATTGGACATACCTTTTCAAGTAGGTAGATACATAGGTAGTAGGTGCACCAGAATGGGGAGCTTCGTTTCCCTTTGATTCATCCCTCCATGGCTGCCGGGTGTAAGATCCGCTACGCACTAGGTTAACAGCTGATTCTCTAATACAGGAGAGAGCACAAGGTTAGTTTAGAACAACTTTTGGAGTCTGCTTTTGACTCCTTTACAGTTCCACAACACAAGTCCTTCCCTTACACCTATGTGCACTGTTGTTCACAGGTGACACAACTCACTGAAATGCCACTTCTGGCCTTAACATCAGTTTCTGTTATTGCCAGCTGTATTACTTGAGAATCACCAAGATGATGTATTGTTTTGCATAAAGAGGAACAAGATCCTTTTTAGTCAGAAAACCTGCAATTGAAATTTAGATTGTCCATAAAAGTAATCTAACATAATAAATAACATCATTTGATATTCTCTCTGCTGTCTTGTATCAAACAACATTGCATAAATGGACAGATACTGCAACTGCAGGGAAAGTTTTTATTCTCCATGGTATCCAGGCAATGACAGTAATGCAACTGAGTATTGCAAATCCTTAGCTATATTTGGCAGCAGAAAACAACAAACAAAATATCTGGCAATATCTAAAACTACTTGACAAGTTATCAATAAATTACTAGTAGTCCTATTTATCATAGTTATCTGAAATCAGGGCTCAATTTCCTAACACACACTTTGGTAATATGTCCTATTCTTTTCTGGTCTTGGACATGACCTCGAGCTTGTAATGCAACACAAATCCATTCACTTGTCAGCTTGCAATTATTTTTCATTTCTCAATTGTTGTGTCCATGCTGATGCCCTTTCAGACACCTGTGGGTTCCGTGAAGTGAAACTCAGCTGTTTTGAAACAAAAGAATATTGGGAAAAATCTGTACTACACAGTACGTCTAGGCACCATCTGTTCATGCAGGCCAATTCTCCTCATTCCCTACTTTACCAAGCAAAGGACACTTGTCAGCAGTCAGCTGGATATGCCACTCAATACAAGCCGCTGCCAAAACTGCTCAAGCTTATCAGCAGACACAAATTGTCTGCTAAACTCCAAATCACAGTGACTGGCTGAGATTAAGCAAGAACACAGCAGGGAGGTTACAGCAAAAGATCAGCAAAGAATCTCAGCCTGTGCTGAAATTCTCTCAGGGTGGTCATCTGCCATGACTTCTTCACAATTACAGTTCACAATGACTTCTCTGTATGTGCCTTTCTACCACAACTGTGGAAGCGGCTGGAAATGAGGTTAGGCTCAAATTTTACTCCTCCTAGCACAAACTGTGAAGAACCTGTTTGTAGAGATTAGCTCCTCAAATATATCTTGAGGTACTAGATATTTATCCCATTTATACTGTGGTTCTGTCGAGGGGCAACTACCATTCACCATAAAAACAAGCCCTGCAATGGAAACAGTTCCATACACCAGAGAGTTCACAAACTCAAGTGAATCAAAAATGACAGATGTGTGAACAAAGGGACTGAAGGTGACTACTAAGCAAGTGACAGAAGTACAAGTGTAGGTGCCAGCTACAAAATGAGGCACTTGCATATAAAAGGAAAAAGTATGCATAAATCTAGTTTCCTGGATGGAGACCATATACGAATGAATACAGGAGTGGAAAAACCAGCCTGTTGCCCTGCTCACCTAAATGAAAAGCAACGTACCAGAACTTTTATAGATCAGAGACAGCTCTCAATATTGTGAATTCCTGTGTACTTGGGACTGCTGAGAAAATATATGAAGCATGAATATAGAAAAAAAGGTATTACGGAGGAACTATCAACAGGACAGAAGCTGACCATTAAGTCCAGTCAGTCTCACCTGTTCTCTTTTTCTTCTATATCACTCGTACTGCTTAGTCTTCTGGGGGCTATTGTGGCAAGATAGCTCTTGTTGTCTTTATCCTGATGAAGCAAAAGAAGTATTTCAACTGCACATCTACTACACTGCCAGCACGTTCAGTGACAATTAAATTAATGTTCAAATTTCTTCAACTAAGAAAGCATTCTTCTGTCTAAGGACAACTGGTTTAAGGCATTTTCTTGGGCAACACATACCACAGCAAAAAAGTATCAGTTCTGAAAATGACTTCCTGAAGAGCACACTAGTAAATAAAAGCAGCTTCTAACTAGAACTATTTATAAATCATAGAATCATAGAATAGTTTGGGTTGGAAGGGACCTTTAAATGTCATCTAGTCCAAACCCCTGCAAAAAGCAGGGACATCTTCAGCTAGATCAGGTTGCTTAGAGCCTCGTCCAACCTGACCTTGAATGTTTCCAGGGATGGGGCATCTACCCACGGGCAGCAAAGTTACAGCTAGCAAATACATGGGACAGGATTTGCAAATACGCCTAGTGGATACAGGAGGTATTCATATAGATGACAGTGAAGGAGAATTTCCACTGCAGGTATGTGCTGCTGCCTGGATTAGATATTTTCCAGTAAAGAACAGGCCATGTTCACTGGCAGCCCACTCCAAATTGAGCAGAAATTAGGTCAAAGGGGCACTGAACTCCAGTTCTGCAAGAACAACTGATAGGATAGGAATAATTTTCAAAAGAAAAAAAAAGAAAGAATGAAAGAGACCTAAGTTTGTTATGGATGCAAAACCCAGCAACAACTCAAAATGAAAGAGAAAGGGTCTTAAACTGTGAGGTAAAGTCTGCTCAACTGGGATGCACTAAAACATCTTTGCTGAAAGCCAAACCTTTTCTTTGTTGTCTAATAATGCAGATATCCGAGGACTTGATGAAGAACGATAGATAGAAGAAGTCTTATCTCTCTGCGCCTCACGAGTAGCAGCGACTTCACTCAACGTGTTGTGACTGCCAGTCTTCCTTAGTCCCAGCCGCCATGATGAAGGTGACTCATCCTTCTGCTCATCTGACTTGCTGAGCCAACTGAACTGTATAGGAGAAAAAGGGACATTCGGAAGAAGTAAGAGCACTGCAAGGCACAATCTAAGTACTGAAAGTGTTTCAACAAGCTCCAATTTTTGCTGGGCTACACTTGTGGACATAAGATGGAGTGACTTTGATTTCCTGCTTAGCTTTAATTACAGGATATAGTTCAAGGTGAACTCACAGGGATTCAAACTGCTGTAGTGCCCTCATCCCCAAGGACAGACAATGAAAGAAATCTCATGTCATTGTGCAGCTCCTTTGCCTACACAATGCTCTCCTCTAGCTTTGCAGAAAGAATATAAGGAACAATGAAGCTTTTATTAGCACCTGTTTAGGAAGGGGGAATTATTCAGTAAAGGCAGAAAACCAAAAAAAGTAATCAACTCTTTTGGGACTAGCTGCAAATAAAACCCTTACACAAATCAAACTGGAAAGAGTCCAGGAGAAGCCGTTAAGATTATCAGGGAGCTGGAGCCCACAACACGTAAAGGGAGAGACTCGGGAAACCTGGCTTGTCTAGCATGGCAAAGAGAAGGCAAAGAAAGGATTTAATTGCTCTGCTACTTGGGGCGTGGGGTTTACAGAGGATATGGAACCAGACGACTTCTCAACAGTCTACAGTGAAAAGAGAAGGAGGAACAGACAAGTTCCAACATGGGAAATCCCAATTGACATGAAGGAAGACATACTTCCTGGTAGGAGTGATGCTGCACTGGGACAGGGAGCAAGAGAGTGGGGCGCCTCCATCCTCAGAGACTTTTTAATACTCAGCTGAGCTCAGGTAGTTCAAAGCAACATGACATAAGCTTGAAGTTGGCCCTGCTTCAAGCAAGAGATTGGACTACAGGCTTGTAGAGGCCCATTCTACCTTAAACCTTTCGATGGTCAGGTAACTGCATATTCTGTACATACTGCAGAATGGACCTTCATGTTTTTTCTTACATGAGGCACTTCTGACAAGCATATATTATTCCTCAAATACACAACTGCTTAAATGTACAACTTCAGTTATAGTTATCAAGTCTTACAGAAAAAAAAAAAAAGTCTTACAAAACAAATGGCCTACTGCCATTCAAGAATGGAGCCTGGACACCGCAAGAGATACTTCTACAAAGACACAGGGCAACACTGAGTTGTATAGGAAATAAAGCAAGCAAAACATTAGGAATTACTGGAAAAGAATAGAATGTGAAACACAACACCATTATATGTCTGTGGTACTGCAGGGTACAATCACATCTTTGGTATCACGCACAGCTCGGCTCCACAGCTTAAAAGCAGTATAGAAGAAGGGGAAGAGATTCTGAGAAAGGCAACAAGAATGAGTAGAGCAAGAGAACTTTTGCATGAGTATATCAGTATATCAGCAGTCTCCAGGCTGAGATATGACCAAGGTACAAAAAACCCTCAGGGACATATAGAAGGGTGAATAAGGATCAGTTATTCCCTGTTACTTCCCAAAAAGGAACTAGGGGCAGCAAACAAAACCAGTGTGTGACAGGCTTAAAGAAACAGGTGGAGAAAGTTCTGTATAATATGTAATTAAGCTGAAGAACCCTTTGCCATTACAGGATCCCAAACATTATGGGTACTCAAAAAGTGACTGCATAAATTCACAGAGGAAAAGTCCAACAAGGGCTACTGAATACAAAAAATACCACAGTTTCAGCAAGTTCCTGAGATGTAAATTGCTAGCAGGTAGGAGAGAAGTCCAGTTAGATTCTGTCTTCTCTAGTATCTTTTGATGGTCACTGTCAAGGACAGGATACTGGGGTAGACAAGGCTTTAGGCCAAAGCTGATATAAGCATTAATATACCATATTCTACATAACACAAAACCTGACATTATCCAGAATAAATGAAGCTACTGGGGAGCTCCGGCCTCCAACTCATTGACTGAAGACTGCAAAGATAAAATTATCACTGCAGTATTTTAGCAATTTTTCTTAGCTAATGTTATTTTAATGCAGATGCACAGAGTTAATCTGTACTCCACTAATTCTAGCACTTCCAGTCTACTGAGCTACACAGCTCTAATGCTTTAATGTAGTTTTGACACTTTCCTCAGAGAAAGCTCAAATCCACAGTAAAAGCCGCCTTTTGTAATTTCTGGACAACATATTACAAACTCCACAAATGGAGGGCAACACAAGCACTCATTTTCCCACATAAAACCCAATCTGACAAAGAGAGTTACAGAAGAATCAAACATGTCAGAAAAGGTAAAGTAGCTGATTTTTAGTGATTGAGGTCAAATTAATAACTGCTTTGCACAGAGGCCCACTTCTATACCCTCACAGCCTTATTCTGCATTAAACAGCTCAAAGGAGTGAGAACAATACTTTGCAGCTGGGAAAAGGTTAACCAAAGTGCTCACATGTCCTAGTATCCTTCTACCTTTAATATTTCCCCTGCTAAGTCAGCCTGAGTTGAACAATGCCCAAAGGAGCTCTATTTCATTAGATCTGGATGAAAAGTTAGACTTAGTAGCATGTCAAAAATAAAAAATTGTGACTAAGCAAGAAACATTTTCCTTCTAACATGCACCTAGTGCTTCAGACTTCAGCAAGGTGCCTGCATTGCACAGCTGTTCTCTATATTCTGGTGCAAAAAGAAAGCAGAAGCATAAGTCCTCAGCAGAACACAGAGTCTCCTGGTGCCATCTAGCTGAGTGACATGAGAGCTGGAGAATTCAGATAAGATTTCAGTAACTCTACTTCACCTTTAAAAAGCTTTCATAGCCTAGCTATCGTAGTCAGATGCAAACTTTATCCTCTCCACTTACTGGGCTGTAACATCATGCCACTGAATCAACTGAATTTGGCAAGTCAGAGGCACTTTAGATGATGATGCCAAATTCACTACTGATACATCAGCAGGAACCAGCTCTGGTGAAAGATCTCCTGCTGGTAAGAGATTGGAATCAGCTATCTCAGAACTGACAGCGACACAAAGCACTTGCGGTAAGCAGGGTTTCTCTTGGGAACAGCGCAATTTGGTTTGGAGGGCAAGAGATTCAGGAGGAGCCTTATCATATAAACATCCTCCTTTGGGTCAGTCCTATACTGTTGCTAACACAGCATCTTTGTCAAAATAGCATACTATCATGCTTTACTAAATTCAAGTCTTACAACTCCTCTGAAAATCAGTTTCAGAGCATCCACTTCCCAGTGAAACCTACTGCTTTCGAGCACTGTTGGAGTCCCCATTGATTCCAAATTCACTTACTCTTCTGGCAGATGCAGTGAAGGAGTTGGGCTCGGGTGGTGGTATTTGCTCAGTGATGCTAGGCCTGGTTTCATGGCTGGAGTGGTTGGCAAAAGGCTCTTCCTTCCTTTCTACAATTTTAAACAAGAAGAGAAACCATATGTTTCAGTATTGCACTTCCAAGGCCTTTCTTTACAAGCACAGTGTGCACTAAACTCAAGTTCAGCACCGCTGTGACCTCAGTAGGCCTTAGATCATAAAGCTGATGTCAGTGCCAAGGCTAACCAGGGCTTTCTGCAAGGAGGCTTTCCACTTACTAAAAAATATGATGGTTACATTTGCCAGGCAAAGCTTTTGAACTTCATCCCCACAGACAAGCAAAATCTTTGCAGAAAGCACCTTAGGGAGGACAAACAGATTTTTTGTTTATTCACAGTTTTGTTTCCTCTCAGGGATTGTTCTTCCCTTGTAAAACTTGAGAAGAAAAGCAGAACGTGCCATTCCTATTGTAGTACATGAGTATGCATTATAGCACACATCCCCGAGTGGGCCTGGTGGTGGATTTCATTGCATGGTGCTGCTGCAGTTGCTTTTGCTGGTGGGCAGAATTTCTGGTCTTCTACAGCAAAATCTGTTTTTCTACACAAAGCTAGGACTGATTCCCAACAAAAATCTTTAACAGGGCTCAAAGCAAGCTAAGCAAACCTTACAAAAGCTCACAGCTGGCTTCCTGCTTGTTAGACAAGTGCAATCGTCCAGTATTAAAATTTTTTTTGTATCTATGCACCATGCTTAACACAAGAACATCCACCAAACATTACCAGGGAGACAGTAAGCAGAAACTGTGTCTCAGGCAACAGGTTCAGTTGACAGGAGTGCACAGGGCTCTGAGAGAGAGTATTTACCAAACACAGCCACATGCAAGGTGCCTGAGAAATTATGTACCTACACCAACAAAACAACCTTCTCCCCTTGCAGCTATGAGTGCCCACACAGTCATGGTTTTGAAAAACAGTCATTTTAACTGTAAGCACCCAAACAGTACTAGCAAATGAGGTATGTGCAGTGAATAAAGATCTTCTATTACATATAAAAAGCAGTTTGGTAGGGAGCATCTGTGAGGATGGCACCTTGGAGCGTGAAGATCAATCTTTCTGAAACAAACGTTCTCACTCCTAGAAAACAGGATTCAAAGGACACGGAAAACAGAAAAGAGCAATCCAAGAGAAACATTTAAAAATAATGCGCAGTTAGCAGGACTGACAGATCCAAAATTAAAGAGACAAAGATGCATCTCCCCTAGAGAATTCTGCATGATATTGAAGTCTCAGCCACCCTTCCCTCTCTTTGATGGAAGCTCTGAGATAACACAAAGCCATCTAAACAGAGTATTTAGTTTCTTGAGCCTAACACTCAGATGCACTGCACTCTCAAACAGCCCTTTTAGGAAGGGGCAGTAGGTTACCCATTTCTCCTTGCAGGCCTGACTTGGCATACAGCAGTCCATGGAAATGCATACAGAAAAAAAATTACATGCTTGCCATTTCCTGACTTCTTGAGACTGAAGTCTGTAAAACACAGGAGAGTCCTTGACATTGCAGGAAGGGGAGAACAGACCTGACCTGACTGCCAGCAGGCTTTACAGGCTGGGCTAGATAGTGACTGGTAGCCCATTCTGGAATTTTATAGTACAGAGGTCAACTTTTAAGGTCAAGCCTAATTACAAGGGCACAAGCTTAAGTTGTAATGACAGGTTGGAAAGAACTCTAACTGTGAGCAATGTGACCGAAAGGAGTCAATTGCAGAAGAAGGACAGGCAAAAGTACCTTGTACCAGCAGCACGAGACACTGCATGATCATAGGCATCATTGTCTTCAGGAGCGAATCCCACATTTTATTTTACTAAAACTTCAGCAATAAACATTATGAATTCCAATCAAGGGAAACCAGCAAGGATTAGTTCAATCTCCCCAAAACAAATTTGGTGAGACTAAAAATTTAGCTCTCTAATTTGGCATAAATATAATTTTTCGTAAAGTTTTTTGGGTTCAGGGTTGGTTTTTTTGTTTGTTTTTAAAAAAACCACAACACAAACCATTGAAAGTCTCCCTGGCCTGCTTTAATTCACAATAATTATGTATTGTAATAGTTACCAGCACAGATAATGACCATAGAATTTTATTCTGATCTTTTTTATATACAACCCAATGCCAAACTGTTAATTGTCCTCAAGATGAATAAAATGGCATTAATGCACTTAGCTTCCTTCGTTTGAAGAATACAAATTTCTTACAGATTGTAAGAAACATGGTACTCTCTGAAGCACTCCAGCAATTTCACTGCTCACCTCTTCAAAATTCTTCTCCTCCCACAGTCTCTGCAAATTCAACAAATTTATCGCAACCTGAGACCCTTCAAAACATACCTCAAAATAAACTTCTGTATTATACTGCCATCTTCTACTTTGCTCTGCCTTATTGCTCAGTTACCAAAGGAGTTAAATTTTTTTGGTTTAAAAAGATCACTCATAACAATATTTTGGCTTTTTTTTTTTCTTCACCTGGACTGTGAACACTTTAGAACAACAGTCATCATCTCTCTGCTCAGAATTACAAAGCTACGTGAATATTAAATCTCAGAAGAAAATGAAGAGGAATAAGGAAATAATTTCCATGTTTTCAAAAACATGTCTCCTGTAATCCATCCAAGCATTTAAAATGTCTAGCAGATAATAAAGCATAATTGTTCTTAAGACTGTCTTTGAAACCAATAATACTGTGACACAATGTTCTATGAAAAGCTATTTTCATCCCTACTCATCTTTGGAGTCCTCCTATGTGGGCTGATGTCGTTAACTCATGAATCTTGTTTTTAAAAGATCACCAAAAACGTGCACCCCATTCACATATGTGACAACTAGGTCTACATCCAGCTGGACAAGTTCATGTTCATTTTATTAGAGATTTGAGAAGTTTACAAGGTAGGGTTTCAGTTCTGATTGAAATTTCTCAAAGGAGCCAATAATCTCTCTAGGAGAGGAGAGCACAGGTAACAAAGCCTAAAGCCTGATGTTTAATCATTACTTGAATGTTTTTTGTCTTCAATTTGATTTAGCTTTAGTGGTTTGAAATAGATTAGTATAATGCGCTTTGCTCAGTGATTTAACTCAATAGAAAGACCTGTTCTGGCTTTACACAAAATTTAATGCTGAGTGCTGTAGCATTTTCCTTGCTGAAGGATCTTAACGCTGTTCCTGAATCAGTTAAACACCACATAGCTCCAATTCTTATACCTATACATACGTTAGAGGTGTTTTGGTCAAGTTCCTACCATGTTTACAAGAATTGGCATGTAGCTATACAGGGCTACTCTCTAGTAAAACCCTGATTTATGGAGCAAATAAATGTGACTTCTACTGCATGTCTGCTTCTTCTGCTGACTTCTCCACTACATTTGCTTTATTTAAAAGCCAGAAGATTATTTCACCATGTTACTGTCATACCCAAATAGCTTTTGTAACTACCAGCTCTGCAAAGACCAGCCAGGATTCTCAACACCTCTCATACTGTGATAAACATCATAACCGATGCAATTAGAACACAGGTGACAATTTTACTGGCACAAGAAGCAGGACAAAACTGTAAACTACACTTCTCTGCAAGGACTTATTTATTAGTATATTGGGATATAGGCCAAGTAAGCTGATGTTAAAAGTAGTTTAAACATTAAACACATCATAGTCCAAGAACCATCTCTGTTTGCAGAAATATTAAGTACAATTAAGTCTTGGCTTACTGTAAAATTAAGTATCTTTATTTAAACTTTCTGTACTGTGCATACATGCTGTTTAAACTAATTAAGGAAGCCACAGAAATTATGGAAAAAGAAGGGGAGTAGGATGCTAGCAATATGCTACAACATGAAGGCTAACATGACTCGATGTAATTAATCTTTATTTTCCACTATGTTTTGCAATTATTATACATCACAGTCAGAAAAAAGTTCCTCAACTCTATAATTACAGCGAACAGCTTCAGCCCCTCATTTCATTTCTCTGATCCAAATACAATAGGCTATTACCTTCCTACACATTCAATTGCTTTTCTACCATCTTGCAGTAACTGAAATATTCACCTTGAAACTGGTCAACAAGAAAATAACTACTGTTTAAGAACAACCTATGAACAATGTGTTATCTTAAATTCAAGTGAACTGGAAGTAGAGTTTAAAATACTATCTGCAGCTTTTTTTTTTTTAAATTATGCTACATTTAGATCAGCTTTTTTAGTACACTAGCTACAGAGTTCTCCATATTCTATACATATACACTGGAAGTAAGACTTTCAGGATGTCTTTAACAACTACGCAAAAAAAAAAAAAAAAAAGGCACTTTTCAAACTGATCCCCTAATATTGCTAGGATAATTATTAAATCTAAGACTGTACTAAGTCTTACCTGACTCCTTTTCAGCATCTGATTCTGAAACTTCATCTTCTTCAGCTTCTTCCTCTTCTTCAGAACTAGAGCTGCTAGAGTCCTTGTTCTCTTCCTCCATTTCCATGGACTTCAGCGTGTCTTCGTCATAAAGAATCTTCTCTTTGCTGCAAGGTATAGAAATTTTAGCGACTACCAGGTGAGCAAATTATTTCTGAGTTCTACTTCTCAGGAACACATAAACATGATTTGCTACATATAGAATGAGCAAAAGGGCAAAATCCATCTACAGACTCAACATCCCAGCACTTCCAGCACTGCCCATTTGCCACGGATTCCAGTGCCACTCTCACATTTCCTAAATTTGCAAGTATTTCTCATTCCAGAAAAATGTGGTTTCTCTTTTCCTAGTGCAACACAACCCATCAGCTTGGCTGTATGGCCCTGTGCAGCTGCAAAGGTGCAGTTCTCAGCCTAAAGGTCAAATCGCTACTCAGCAAGAGCAGAAGAAGGGGGACCAAGCACCAGCCCAACAGCCCAATGGTTCTACCATTCAGTGACTATATTAAGAAACAGCTAAAATTGTATTTGAGAGAACTCAAATTTAAAAGAAACCATGAAATGAACATGAACAGCAGTGAACTTTTTTTAAAACAGCTGAGGCCAGCTGACTGCTAACAGGTGAAGCTGGTCTCCCATGACTCTCTGTGCAGCTTCTTTTCAACAAAGAAGAAAGAGACATACTTGGTGAAGAGTCCGCTTTGAGGCTTGCCATTCATGTCAGCTTCAATTAGCTTATTCCTCGTCTCCTTCTCACTTCGCAACTGTCAAAAAGTCCAAGAAGATTGGAGAAAGAATGAAAAGACACATCTTAACAAGCCACCAAAGCACAATCCAATAATTACCACAGCATAAGGCCATCCCAACCTCATTAGACAAAAAATACTGTGGATTTGTTTAACAAGCTAATTCAACAGATGCACATCTGCAAGAGCACTGGATGTCTTGCACTAGAGCTTCATAAGGGCACAGCTACACACCCAGCATGTCCTTAGACTCAAGCTGCAATTTAATAAAACCTTCAGACAAGTTTGCAGCAGTCCCTGCTGAGACCCAGTGTCAAATCCTGACTTCTGCAGCACTGCCCTGCATCTGCCCATGTAGACACAGTGCTGGAGATCTGTCCACATGTGTTTGTATGCCCATGAAAACAGGCTAGATCCAGTTAAAGATGTGCTGGCTTTGTACCTATTATTTACTTGCTCTCAGAGAAAAGCATTCAAGTATGCCCTTTACAGGTAACCGATAGATCGCCCATGAGGATGGGTCACGTCTTAAATCTCTCAAATGCCAGCATTAAGTCATTGCACAAGAATACCTGTGATCACTGCAGCAACTGAAATATTTTGCCCAGCAAGCAGCAATATTAATTTTGTCACCACTGATGGACAAAAGAGTAACCAAAAAATTGTTTCAGTACCTTCTAGAAGCACAGACACAGCTGAGGTAGAAAAAGGGATGGCAATTACAGGCTCACTTTTAAGGGTTTTCTCTTTTGTGTCATGTCTAGCCTAGTTATTCTTTCTCTTTTGATAGGAGCTGACACCAGGCATAAGAAGAAAAAGCTCTGCAAATTCTGAATGTGGGAAAAGCTACATGGAGTCCAGCAAAGAGCCAAAACTTGGGGTACAGCATGTTGTTAAATAGAACAAACTGCTGGAGCACAGCAAAAGGAAGTGCAGGAAACAGCCTGCTCCATTCACAGGTAATTCAGAGATTGGGGAAAAAAAATCGAAACTTAAATTAAATTAATTGCTTCCAGCACACAAAATCCCGTCTTCTCTCCAATAACAGCAGCAAATCTTTTAGCAAGGACAGCATATTGTTCCTCTACAAGCTTTAGACTTAAAAAACCCCACCGATTTGAGAGCCATTTTGAAAGTGAAACAGTGTACTTAAAGGAATGTCATGGAACTGCCTATTTCATCCTTAACAAATGTAACTTTTCTATTTAAGTGATAAAAATGGCACATGATAAACACACATGATAAAATAGCATTTCTATTAAAAAAAAAATCCACTTAAAAAAAAACCCAAAACCTGTGATAAAATCTGAATTCTTCTCTTCTTCCCAGTTCTACTATAGTTTGCTACACTAATTTAATAAATGAAGGCCTTTATATAGTGCTACTATATAGAGAACAAGGGGGGTTGCTAGCCCCTGTGAATCAGGCCTAAAAATGGGCTAGCACCCATCCAGAAAAATTCTTGTTGTTGTTTTGCTTTTCCTTTTCTTTTTCTTCTGAGGAGTGCAGTTATCTGCAGAATCCTGGTGTAGTGAGATAGGAGGAAATCCAAAATACAACACTGATAGTATTTATCAACACCTCATTTAGGGAGAAGCTGATTAATTTTTAAAAAGTTTCTGTGAATGTTAAGGATGCTATTTAAGGATGACAGCAGCTGCATTATGATCAGAGCTTGAGTTCTACCACCCACATTTGTCAGTTCCTCAAAATACTTTACTGGGTTTTATCAGCAGTGTTCTCATTATGTCCGTTTCTGAATCCAATGTTTTAAATGATACTTACCATTTTTAATTTTTTTTAAAGAAGGTTGGTTTGTTTTTTGGAAGCACCCAAATGAGGTAATTGAGTAGACCAGATGAAATACAATAAAATGCAATCCAAAAACAACTTTCTGGCTTGATGACAGGCTTTACTTTGATCAAGATATATTTTTGCTTTCTTTTTTTATCCCAGCTTTCTGCCTATAACTCCTTCCAATATCTCCATTGCACTATGAAATGGCAATTTAATATGGTTTTGAAATCACCAATTCTTTTAGTCCAGAATTCCCTGAAGTTTGTAATTTCTTCTCCTTCAATCAAAAGTCTCCCTATTGTAAGAAAGGCAGACATGGTAACAGATCTCTTTCTCAACACAGACAGCATATTTCCTTAGATGCAAACACAAAGTTGACTTCGGTAATCACTCATTAAGAAAAGAGCAGTTTGATGCTAGAGAGCTTGCCAGCTAAGAAAAGCAACTGCAGAATAATAACAATTCCAAAGATGAACTATACATTCCTTACCAGTTTATATAATTCTGCATGCCAGCACACTACTGACCTTCTTGATGCAGTCATCCAGTTTTCTAGATTTCTAGCTATTAAAAATATTGGTGTAATTAAAGATTCCAAATGACTAACAAAAAAAAAATAGCTGGGCCTCAGCTTCCTGCGTCTGTTGACACCATATGTCTTAGAGAACACCCGTGTGTGAAAAGGTAATTGGAGAGGTGGAAAATGATCTGCCAGAAACTCACCACAGACTGTTTCTTCTGCAGCATTTCTAAATGCTCAACTAGTCCCTCATCAGCCACGTCGAATGGTGTCTGGCCCTGATGCAATAAGAGAAGACAAGAGGATATCCAGTATGGCATGGTGTTAATATTCAAAAAAGCACTATTTACCAATGAAGAACAAAAGTGAATTATGTTCCACATCCTCCCTCCCCAAATGCTGAGTAACATACTCTGTTTCACTCCAGAGTAGGAAAAGCCATGTGACAGCGATGGTACTTTTATGACTCAATCCATGATCAGAGCAACCTTAATCATTGAAGTGCAGTTCCCTGATTACTGCTGCTCAAATCTAACAGCCAGGACTAACATATTTGAGTTTCCAGGTTTCCAAAAAGTACTCTCTTGTACTGTGAAGGAATGTGATCAACCCGTTCTACTGTATCATCGTGTATTTGAACCTTCTGAAAGACTGCCAATCATCAGCAGGCCAAAAAAATTGGGAGCCATTTCCACATCCATAGCCATTTACAAAATAAAACAGAAAAATTACTTCGGGGCACCAAAACAAGAAATCAGTTACATTTTCACCATAACTAAAGCTATAATAACCATTATAGCTAACAACACATAATGAAACCTGATGGCTAGGGATCAAATAAATACAGGTTCCCTTGGCTATCTGACCTAGCAAGTTAACAATCCTTGACTGGACAGAGCAGGTAATGCAGCAAATACAACTGTGTCTGTTTCTTTTCAAGCTCAGCACAATACAAAACCCACACATTCTGAACACTTTGGAAAAGCACCTAATAGCACGTAAAGCAAAAAAGACTCCCTGTACTTTGACGCCAAAACCTCACCACGCTAAAATGGCTCCTTCTTATAGAGCCATTTCTTTTACATGGGTTTCCAGTACAGACAGATGCACTCAAATCATACAGTGCCACATTTCTCTTATCAAATTATCTTGCCTGCTTTCATTCCCTGGTGCTGTTCCAAGTACTACAACCTCATTTCCTCCCCCAGAAGCAGCCACGGCACAACTGAATCTGCTCCAGCAGGAAGTGGTTCACAGACACTGCCTGGGCATCGCAGCATGGAGGGGAACGCAAAGAACAACCCTGGACAAGCACACATCGGCTCTTGAAAATCCACGGGCTCTTCAAGGAAAAACTTCCAACTATTTGGATGGAAGAGGAATTTTTTTTCTCCTTTTCTTTTGTTTTTCTTCCATCCTATTTTTCTTTACTCATTTCTCACAAATCTGAGTCAATTTTTCAATTTCCCTTTTTATGACCAATATAGTAGAACAGGAAGGATTTAAAGCTGCCAGTTTCTCAAGGGTTCACTAGTTTTCAGTGCATTACACCTCAATATTAGCGTATTATTCTGCACTCCAAGACTGTCTTTTTTGTTGTTGTTTAATTTGTCAGGATTATACTAAAACAGGAAGACACAGATTAGCCCCTATCCTTTCTTACAATCTTGGTCCTAAAGTTGAATCATGATCTTTTCCAGTAACACTTGAAATTTTTCTGCCTTCCTGCAGTCAAGATTCTTTATTTTCTGACACTTCTAAATGCTCCACTGCACAAGCTAGGAGAACTGCTCACCATGTAACTTTGTCATTGCGTTGGATCAAGTGGTAGGCAATAAAGTTGATATTCACCTGGCTATAAAATACATTGCATAAGTTGTGCCAACATCTGTGCATACTAACCAGCTTGTTCCTGATGTCCATATCACACAGTGCCTCAGCCAGGATGGAACAAGCTTCCTTCACTCCCCAGTGCGCAGCAGCATGGAGCGGAGTCCAGCCGTCATTGTCCTGGACATTCAAATTAAACCCAGCCTGGATCAAGAGCCTGAGGAAAGAAGCAGTATTGATTTCTGCCCACCTGAGAATGACTTCTTGACACAGAATAGTTAACACCATGAGCCACAGAGTAGGCAGCATGGTCCACAATAAGCCGGTAGTCTCTTAACTTGTTCATTCACCTAAAAAACAGCCCACTTGATGTGCTTGTAACTGTAACAGAACAGGGCAGTAAACAAAGTGACTTTGCTGTAAAACCTGCTGGAATGTGTCTAATTGGTAAGGTTCCCTTTAAGCATGTCCTAAACTGGGAGAACACCTTAATGTTCTGGCATCGGTCACCCAGTCTGAACTCCTGCTCCAATGGACGAGAGACACCAGACTCGCTTGGGCACTAAGCAAACAAACAACATCTCTGCAGACTGCCATCTCCTTAACAAGGAGCCAAGCACAGCAAGCACAGCACCTGGCAGGAAAAGGACATTTGGTAACTGGAGCTCAGCCTTGGCTCTACCAGAGAACAAGGCCACATGGTAGGAACGGTCCATAAGGAGATGATGCCAGCAGGACTGCCAGGTAAGAAGCAGTGACATTACTGTGATTGACAGATGTGAAGTTTGCAAGTTAAATAACCCACATTTGGGTTAAACAACTCAATATGCATTTTTGCAGACTAATCCTTGCACAGTTAAAGCAAGTCTTACCCAAGTGAACCTGCCTTGGAACACCCTCGCATTACATTTACTGCTGTGCACCTTCCACCCACTCCCTCCTCAATCAGACCAGAGCACTAGTGTTTCATAGCATCTGGAGCTTGAATATTTAAAGACAAAACAAAGAGAAGAGAGTCAATTGTAGTCTGAAGCTTCAGAGACACATGCACACTGGTACTCCAGTGATCAGATGAAAGCACTGAGCAGCTCATGTATCAAAACTGACTATTATCCAAGTTGCTTAAATATTGAAGAGCATCCGAGGGGAATTCTGCAAATCTGGTAAAACAGCTACTGAAAATTTCCATCATGGGAAATCCCACCATCCAGAGCCACCTTCCTGCAGCACAAGGGAAATCCAGCACAACCCCAGAATGGCACCTACAGTTTTGAAACTCCTGCAGCTTTACACCGATGCGTTACTGTGCTAAATAAAAACACAGTCATACCATAGCAGCAGTGTGTTTCTCTGTGAAAGAAATTTTAAATTAGGTGCTGACTTTATGTTGATTTTCCAGCTGGCAAAAGGGAGGAACATAGCTGCTGTGACACTCAAGGTCACAGACAAATTCCACATCTCATTTGAGAGTTGGCTAGCTCCTGACTTTCAGCCCCTTTGGTTTAAGTCACTGAAGCTTTGTATTTTAACTTACAGGGTGACCATAAAATACACAAGAGTGAAATAATGTCAGCCTTCTGTGAGATCTGTTTATCATTACAACAATTAATGCCAAGGAGTAGCTGTCCAGAACTAAGTCACCCCACAAACAGTGAATAAAGCCTTCATTGAGGAGAACTGGATATACAACCCCCCACTGGAAGTCCATGGGACCAACACCTCAAACTGAGGAGATATTACATTTCTATTCCACATAAGCTGTGTTAGATTACTGTTCTTGGGCACGGTACAGGCACACACAGCTTATAACTCAATCACAAGCTCTAATGAATGAATACTAATAGGAAACATGGAGAATAACAAAATTACTAGAGCTTGACAAGAAACAGCTCTTACACATCAAGTCATGCCACTTAAAACTATGAAATTAAGGATCAAGATGGATGAACTTTCAGAAGGCATTTTAACCTAGGTAGTAGAATAACCTTGATGATGTTTATGGGCAGCTCCACCCATACATAAAGAGTAGAGAAGAAAGCTTTACTGTTGGAAACATTAATTTGACCTTACCTGTAAAAACAGTCATGCTTTATTGCCAGGAAACACTACATTGGGCAAGTTCATTTTCTTAATAAGCTTGTTAGTACCAGAGTGGTAGAAGCAGAACTGCTATGTGTTGGAATCCCTCTGTCACTCCTGACGGCTGCAGGAGCAGTAGCATCAAGGGGCAGGGGGCAGCGAGACAGGGCTGGACACTGCATTTTTCCATGAAACTGGTCACTTAAAGCGTTGGGGTGTTTGTGATTGTCATACAGCATGCATTGTTACTTTGTAGGCTGAAATTGTATTTTTATCCTCTAATACTGTTTTACTTGCTAGTCCTAAAACTATTGCTCTAATAGTGAAAATTAAACCTTCTAATTTATGTCTCAGTCTCTGAAAACCTTTCATCACTTTAAAGGCCTAGAGGTACGAAAGGGAATCTTCCAGTCCCTAAATATTTCTAGGTGAACCACTATGGTTGGGCACATAAATCTACAGAGCCTTTTGACAAACAGCAGCCTGAAAATCTCAGTATGAAACAGATTTCTCTCAACTATAAAGCTAGATGTGTTTCTTACAAAAAACAGTCTTGAATCAATGCATCAGCCCTGGGAAGGAGCTCCTACCTCATGACTTCAGAATAGCCCTTTGCCGCAGCAACATGAAGAGCTGTGGCACCTGTTCGAGGCTGCTTTATATCTTCAATTCTCCCACTGTTCAGCCACTGTCGGGCATCCTGTAGCATTTGCTGCTCCTCTTCTTTTCTCGCCAGGTCTAGGTCTACACCTAAGAAGGTGAAGCACAGAAGAAGATAATATCAAGTGAAAGCTCTCATGAACATGTTAAACTTGCCCTATGTTTCATTTGCTATACAATATTAGTAACCTCTTTGTAATCTTGCACAAAAATCAGCAAAAGCATTTTCTAGGAGTTGGGAGAACTACTGCATCACTGACAAAGACTTCAAAGCTGTCTGACTTAAAAAAAAAAATAATCTGAAAGTTGAACTTCTGGTTGCAAACCAGCCCAACTAACTACTAGCTCAACTGTGAACCAACTACGGGTGGAATGATTGTGCTCTAAATATGCAGTGTCCTAGACTGAAATAACCAAGTCATGAACAACAGCCTTACAAACTGAATTAAACAACAGTGTGAGTATAATCTACAGTGCAGATCTGAAGAGATGATCCTAAGATGCCACCTGCAAGAGCAGCACAACCCCAACTGTATGCTCACTTAAAATTCAGTATGATTTGCAAGCTGCACGTACAGAGATCTCTGTGCTGCACCAGAGCCATTAGTGCCAGGCACGCCAAAAGAAATATTTAGTTAACTCCACTGAGCAGCAAACCACTAGATTCTGACAAAACACAATTCTAAATTATTTTGGGGATAGAAAGCAAAAAAAAAACCCCAAAAACTAACCTGATGGCTTAAGAGATCTGCTTTAGATGAAGTCAGATCAAGTAAGTCCATCAATACATCTGGTATAACAGAGACATGGACTATGGGGCTTTCTGATAACAAGAGGGAGAAGTTTCCCACCCTAGGAAATGGTTGCTATGATGTGGAGAGGCCAGGTAGGTTTAGCTGATGGGCTGTGTCAATTGTCACTAAACCAACAAGAAGCAAAACTATCTTTAACTTGTTTTTGTAAGTGGAGTTTTCATTACAATGAGGTCCTGTAAGGATGATGTATCAATCAGAAGTACAATATAGCTCCATACAAGATTAATCAGACTAGAGCTCACTGACTCAGGAAAAAATATGAAGGACAAGATGACATATCTCAAAAACCAAGAAGGATGTTGAAGAGCAACTGTCCCTATGGATTAGTTCTTTCAGTATAAGAATGACATGATTCCCAATTAAATTATGGGGCATTAGGTTCAAAACAGAACAAAAGAAAACACTTAACTCAGGGTCTGAACTGTGAAAGCCACTACCACAGGATGCTGCAAAGATTAGAAATACAACTGGCTGCAGAATAAGGATTAGAGAAATCTGTAGTCATTAAACATAATGCTATACATTATGTTCCCAAGAAGGACTGCAGAAGTTCATGAAACAGAAAGCCACAGGGGATTCATGAGCACAGAGAAAGCCCATCTGGCTCAGGAATTTCTTGAGGTACAGTGCCTGGAGGCTGGGAAAATGTTTGGGAAAGGAATCATACACGCTTGTCCCATTGTTATAGTTTGCACCAGGCAGCTGCTTTTAGCTGCCATTGAAGACAGGCTACAGAGCTGGATGGACACTTATTTAAAGTTTATAACGCATTTACTCCAGCAATTATGATCCTTTTAAACTGTGTCAATGGGAAGCTTCTCAGTGGAGACAGATGGTTGTTTCAGGGCATCTTAGCAGGATGCCGCTAATGTGGTGAAGCAATGAAAAAGCCAAGCAGAATCCCAACAAGTGTCAGGCAAAATATCTGCAGTTGAGGCAGAATTACATGAAGAATTGTGTCTACAGTCAGCATTTGTTTTACTGGGCTGTCCAAACCATGCCTGTCTCTTCTTGCAGTCAGGCTTCCCTAGATGCCCAGAAAGATACAGATCCTTTCTTTCTATCAGTGTAACTTGTCTCTCTTTAAAGTAGGTATCAAGAACTGTACACACTAATAACATGGTTGAAATCTTACAGGGCATGGTTTGGACAGCCCAGTAAAACAAACGTTGACTACCAACACAATTCTTTTTAAATATGTGAGTAGATTAAATTTAAGGGAGAAGGGCTATTTAAGCTTATTTCAAAGTGGAGGGAAAAGAGGAACAAAATAAGAACAACCTTGTCAAAAATACTAGAGTAGAAAGTAAAAAGCTTCTATTTACCAGAAGGAACATGATCCTGCATCAATCTTCCAAGAGGAACAGTAACAGAAATAACAACTAGTTCTCAGATGGACAGCTACAAACTCACCAGTGGAACAGTAACACAGTTCACAAAGTAGCAAGGGACTGATCTCTTCCTAACTATACCTGAAAATAGCTTCAAAAATAAAAGTAACCACCATGCATCAAGCAGAATATATCTGTTGGAGAGGACTGGATTCAATCCAGCATGCAAACAACCCCAAGATCAACCTGCAGTCATAAAATAATCTAGACTGGAAAGAATCTCTGGGGGTCTCTAGCCCAAATTCCCTGCTCAAAGGAGGGTAACTTCAAACCCAGATCAATTTGCTCAGAGCTGAATGCAGCTGAGTTTTGACTACCTCCAGTGATGGAGATTCCACAAGTTCCTTGGGTCCCCGTTCCAGCACTTTCCTAGGAAACACTTTTCCTCAGAACATCCCTCATTCAACCCTATGACTTTTTCCTCTCATCCTGTCACTGTGCAGCTCTGAGAAGAGTCTGGCTCCATTGTCTCTATAGCCTCCCTCAAGATAGTGGAGTACAACAGATCCCCCTGTCAACTTTCTCTTCTCAAGGCTAAATATGCAGTCCATACATATCCAATGTGGATAGTTTGGTCTGTATCAGCTCAATTTGCCTCGGTTCATCACTTCCCCCATAGATAAATGCATCCTTCAAAAACATTCTTGATGAACTTCATAGATAGGGTTTAAACTTCTTACACATGTGTACAGACACCTAACCACTCACAGATTAATTTCATCAGTATAAAGAAAATTTTACACTGATGAAGCATTTCTTAATTATAATACAAGTTATACTGTCTGACATTTCTTCCACCAGTGATGTTTTTGCAGGGACAGCACAGAGAGCAGCCCCTCAGACAGGCATACCTGATGAGAAAGGGGAAATGGCAGAGCAGACAGGCTGCAGAAGTCTACGGAAGCATCAGGATAAAGCAGGTCACTCCAGGCCAGGCAAAATCATTTCCCAGTCCCTGCTCTTGGTAGGGCTGTAAATCTCACCTCTGTATTATCAAGTCTTAGTGAAACAAGACCTTTCATTGATACCAGAGGTCAGAATTAAATCTCACTTTAAAAGCAAACAGATCTAATGCATCAGCTTTCAGTACTGTGGTGTCTTGTTTTGAAGAATCCTATTAAGGACAGAGACTGCACACCACAAACCTTCTGCATCTGTTCCACTGTTCTGCTACCAAAGCGAAATTTGTCAGCTGCCTCTTGGGCCAGATTTCAGATCTCTTCACCTATAGACAGTAAGCCAACAGAATTTTCTTATAGAAACTCTTAGAGGTCTAACTCTCACATATTCAATCCCACTACTGATTTACCTTGTTTCTTTACTTGTTCCAGAAGCAGGTCCTTCATGGCTGCTTCCTCTGCGATGTCAGACGGGACTTCACCTTCACTGTTCACAGCAGCCACATTGGCTCCATGACTAATTAAGTACCTACATGAATGAGACCCATACCAACATATTAGACCTTGTGTGCAGGTTTCAGTGCAACTTATACAGTAAACCAAGTAGCAGAACAAAATATTTGGCTTTGTCATTCAAGTTCAATTACCAAATGAGTATCTTATTCTTATCAAATTTCTAGACTAAAAAAGTTCATTATTAAATGCAAGGTCCCCAGTTCATAGCTCATAGTTTCTGTTTCTCTATAGTTATTCAAATACCCCTAGTTCTTGCACTAACCTGATAGATTATGCTTTTTTTTTAAAGTAATTAAAAAAAGATAAGCCAAGCCATCATAAATTTTTTAATTTGTCTTTTTATAACTATACCAAAAGTTCATTCCAGAACAACTAATGTCTTTTTTTCAGCTTGCCCATCTTGTAACCAGTAAAATTTGGGGAAGTAAAAAAGTATTTGTTTAAACACACAGATATAGGAGGGTGAGATAGGAGAAGATATTTTTTCTTGGTTTTGTTTTAAAATCTATTTTCAATGCCTTCGAGAAATAGTTATCAGTATTCAAATTTTGGTAACTTTTTGGTAGCTGTGGTGGACTAAATGGCTGGTAAAAAAATAATAATATCTTTCATTTGAAGAACTAGTATTTGAGAAGAAGAAAAACCAAACTGATAAAGGATCGTCCAAAAAGCTAAGAACTGTTCCAGGAGGAGTACAACACACAGAAATAAGTGAGCCACAAAAGATTTATTTTTTTTTTGTTAGAATATATTGTAGACGACTATCTTGAGAAATACTATTTTTTTTCCCTTATTCTTCTAACCTATAATGCAGCTTTTATCTCAGAAAAATTATTTCACTTGGGAAACTACTATTTATGTTTGCCTGTTCTTTGGTTCCAGTTATTCTAGCACTCCAGGTCATATATATGAGCAATTCTCAAAGTCTCAGAACAACATGTTGGTGCACGAGTAGTCTGGTATCAGTATCTCCTCCGGGACAAACAGGCTATTAGTCCTTTGTGAGCATAGTGAACGCTCAAGATCAGCTGCGGAATGCTATTTCAAACCCTGGAATCAGAAACTGTGCCAAGAAGAGTCAAATCTTTGTTGGGCGTCACTTATAGCTGGTTACTGCTTTGCTATAAACATCTACTGGACAAAACTCTCTGTTATACTTACTGTCTTTTCTTTCATATGTATTTCATGTTTGTACTCACTGGATTATCTAATCTCTCTATGGCAGGCCACAGAATTTCACCTGGTTATGTCCAAACTGAGCCCAATATCTTGTGTTGTAAGCAAAACAAAAAATAGATGAGACAATGCTCTAATTCTAAGTGAGTTAAGTAACAAGCAGTTACTTTTATCTACTTTTCCATCTTTTGTGAGACAGTATGCAAGAAACAGAAACAGAAGATCTGAATGTGAAGAAAAAGAAACAATGCTGTTGGTATACTGGTGACTCCAGAGCCCAAACATTGCATTTCTCTCTCAAAAGTCTCCACACAACTGCAGCACTGCTCACATAGGCCTGTCTATGGTAAGAAAACAGTTGCTTTGCAAAGCCTCACAACAAGGGTAAGTGCTGGTGCATTCTCTCTTTGAATTCTTTTGATGGTATCCGCCATCTGGGGTTTACACCAGAATACCTATATGCATGTAATTACACTAACATACATTTTGTACAGAGACAGAATTCTTTTCAGTTAGAGGAACAAAATCCCAAATCGCTCTTAGGTAACACTTAAAATTCTGCATGGGCTCCCTGCTGATGGAAGCACACAGCAAAGACAGTCAGCAGCAGCAGAGCTGTGCTTCATTACAAGTTTCTATTAGTGTGCCTGCCTGTCAGCCGTCGTGTTTCCCTTTTGCTTGGCATTTCAGCTAAAGTATCTAATGAATCATAAGTCACTGTAATGGGATCACCAAAGGCAACCAGTTGCAGGCTCCACCTTAATCCCCACAAATTAAGAATTCAGTAACAGGAGAAATGCATCTATTTTCAGCATTGCTTCCCAAGACACTGTATAAGTCTCAGAGCATCAATCGCCTGTGTACCTGCTCTGAAGAGGAAGATGTGGAAAGTGTTATAAATACCCAGAATAGCCTGAAACTCACTCACTCTGCTATGTTCAGATAGCCACACGATGCCACTGCATGAAGAGGGGTCCAGCCCTCGTTATCTTGCTGGTTCACATTGGCTCCATTTTCTACAAGGAACTTCACCATGTCCAGGTTCTCATCTATACAGGCCTGAGGGAGAAGGGGAGGGAGGACATTCAGGGGAGGGAAGGATTGAAGAGAAAAGGGAAGGGATAGATTAAGAAAAAAAAGTGTTGGTGTTAAATCAAGTGTACAACCTCAATTTGCAGTTTATTGGCAGCAGGTAATTCCTGGGCTGAGATTCCCACACTGTGAGCTAGCACATCTTAAAACTTAAGGTAGCATGAGGTTGGGAACTAAAATAAATTAATTTCAGGACTTTCAAAAATTAATTGTAACTCAAAGAGTCCCCAGGTAGACAACCTCTACATTTGCTCAAGCCTCACTTCTCACCAATTGATCTGTTTCCTTCCTCTCTCCCACACTGTCATCTCCCTGGAGCGGGGACACACTGTAAAATGATATATCTGTATTAGTTTTAGGTATGGCATCAAATTCCTCCTAAGCAAGGCAAGCTATGTATTTATTTAGATTACATTGTTCCCTCAAAACTTCAATGAAATAATGTCATAACAATGAATGAAATGAGATATCACTAGTGGTAGCAATGAGCAGGGAAAGCATGAGATCAAGAAGCCTGACTAAAGCAGACCATCTGTATACTGGATGTTGCCCTTTTACAGACGTAATCATAGCAAAAGCAGAATTTGACAGAAGTTAATAACTTCTTTATTCAGCAGTATTTATTAATTTTCCTGAGTATAACAAAGTACAACTTTCCCTGTTAGCTTTACAGACCCTGTGACCTACTGAATAGAACGACAACCTTTTATTAGCTGCTGTATGTATTCCAGAGCCTGTATTTAGAGAGACCTGCTAGCTTTGAAGTTGCCAGAAGAAAACCTAGCTAGATTTTCAAGTCTCAGCGCTTCTGTTGGGTGGAATTCCTCCTTCCTCAAATTCCTGGCTACAGCACGTTCTGCATTGCATTTACAGTTCACTGGAGGCTGCTATTTAAGGATGAGCTGGCAATTTAATACATATGTCCAAATGCATGTGCCTCAGCTGAGAAGCACCAAGCATGACTGGGAGGCAAAAGGACTGGCTTTTACAGCATGTCCATCTACAGGCAGAAACCTAGGTCCTCATTACTAAAGAGGGAATCAGCTTGGTTGAAATTCCTCCAAAATCACAGTACTCGATTCTTTTATATAGCTTGATGTGGGCACATCTATCAGTTACAGCAGTCAGATGACTTCCGGATAATCATTCTTCTAAAATGAGCAACACTGACTATCCATTCCTACCCTAGCAAGTAATGAAAATGAGGAAATTGTCTTTAACCAACACCCCACTCTCTAGCCCCCGGTCCAGGAGACAATCCTGTATTATCTAACACATTCATCTATGCTGCATTGCTTATTTCAAAGGAGAGGCGTGCCCTACACCAGGACATCCAACGCTTGTTATTTCTACTGCAAGTGCAAATCCCAAACTAGCCTTTTACCCCACAAACACAAGTTACTCCTGTATTTGCTTGTTTCACAAGTAGCTGTGCAAAAGGCTACTTGTGAACTTTAAAAGCAAAAGCTTTTAAACCTCTTGCCTCTAAGGAAGCATGCTCCAGAAAACTAACTTCTAGTACAGTTACTTGGCAAATGCTGGAAAACGCAGAGTGCATCTATGGTGCTAGGAAAGGATGCCCCGGGAGCAGAATCAAGCACCCAAGTCCAGACTGTACCTATGCTGAAGTGTTAGCGTGTTTCCTTGTTCTGTTTTAGACTGGTTTAATCTTACTCTTTGCCAGAAAAGCACAAGCATAATTCTAGAAATAGTTTACTTTAGGGACTGCTCCAAACCCAGAACAGATGAGACTGCCCCTGGGTTGGCTCCCTCCACCCTGCCTCAGTCTATCAACACTCTGCCACCCGCAGGCATGAAACAGCTTCATCCCGTAAACCCAATTCTGGGGGACTTCCCTTAGATTATTTCAGGCACTAAAACTGGGAAAAAAAACCCACAACCCAAACCAAAAATATTGGGGACTGAAGAGCACCATACTGAGGTCGGAGGAGTGCCAGGTCCAAGCATTGACAGGGTAAGACATGGTTAGGTCTGAGCAAAGTAGATGCAACCAGGTTCTACCACCAGCCTCAGGAGCAAGGTTTGTTCCTTCATCCTCATTTATTTAGATCATCTGGTCCAACCCCCTGCTCAAAGCAGGGCTAAACCTGATGTTAGATCAGATTGCTCAGGGCCTGCTCCAGCCAGTTTTTACTGTCTGCAAGGATGGAGACTCCACAGCTAGCCTAGGTCCCTGTCCCAGTGCTTCACCATCCTCTCAGTGGGTAATTTTTCTTACTATCTAATCAGGACTTTTCTTGCTGCAGCTTATGCCTCCTGCTGCAGTAGTGCAGATGTAGCCTCTAAGTCTCAGCAGGTGATGAGAGCAGGAAACACAAGCCAAATATTCCTACTGTACAGGGGAACTAATGTGTGCCCGATAGGCACGTGATTAATTTTAAGACATATTCTAGAAGGTATACACTCCTGATTTCCATAATCCTGCAAACTATGCAAACAAATCTGTTAGTGGCTTACATCCATAACAATGCATTCAAATGCAGTAGGAAGGTAAAGTGTGCAATGCACACAGAGGTGGACATGGATACACAGAGGAACATACTGATCCCTTTACCATTCAAGGAGCAATTTTTGGGGAATTCGTCTCTGAGCCTGCAAAACTGAGAGCAAATCTGTATTTTATTGCCACCCACATTTATTGTGATATACTTCAAGTTTTCCCCTAACACACCTCAAATAAATTACACTTGCAATCTTATTGATGAGACTTATTTACATTTTGACCTGGGAACACAACCATTACATATCACTTTTTAAATAAAACTGACTTTATCTAAAAGCATATTGCTCCGAGAATAGCCAAGACAAGTTCACCCACACAGTGGTTTCTTTTGAGCTCAATCACTTCTGGCTGACAGAAGAATTATAGCCTCAAAGAATAATTTTATCAGTGTGGCTCTGACAAAGCAGCAAGGTAGCTGTTTCATGCTTGTGCATACTTAGTGCTGTGCTGTATTTGCATATTACCTGCAGCTTGAATGTAAATCTAAATTTAGACTCAAGAATGTCTCTATATTGTGAGCTTTGTATGTATTTGATAGAGAATTATATTTACATTGTTTATCATTTAAACCACCCCAATACACCTACTACATCTGCACATACTTGGAATCAGCCAAAAGAAAACACCAGTTCTTGGTCAAGCCACTGGATATACTGGACTCTAAAATTAAATATCTGTTTAGAGGCATAAAAGAGGGCCCCCCACCCCTTCTTTTAAATTTCTGCCTGTTATTGGCCTCGTTGTTCTGCTGGTTCCCGTCTTGCATGGTTCCTATGGAATGTATGCTAGAAACAGAAGGGATAATGGGATCAAACCCCACCTGTTCCTACACCGAAATCTGCAGTAATTTGACTCGCCTGGCTTCTGAAGAGATAAAATTATGACAAAGTGACAAAGCTACATGGGTGCTGACAACAGCAGGCATTCGCTTGCTTCCCCAAGGGAACCATCATGCATTTCATGCTTGCTGTTTGCATTTGCCAGGAAGATAAAGTCAAGCACAAAGGTGTATTAAGTCTTTAATGGAGCAGCAAAGTATTCTTTAATATCTAAGAAAAATAACCCTTACTCCACCCTTCTGCATTTACATATCATGAAAAATGGCTGTTCAAGTTATGTGATCAAGCAATGTGACGCTGCTTGACAAATATTTATTTTAGTATTAGTTAGTGACACATAAGAATAGAAATGAGCAGAGTTGAGTAACATGAACAGTTTTTTAAATGACTTGAGGCTGCGTTAACATTGGCAGGTATGACTTCTTGCCTGCCTCAAATACCAAAATGCAAGGATTTTTTGCATTTTTATAATATTACGTAATATTAATTCTATTGGTCAAGATTTTAATAAGTGAGGTACAGAAGGAGTTTCAGAAAATGACATTTGACAAACAGAGGTACTGAATAACCCCTGTTCAGTTCTGAAAATCTCGTCATTATCTCATGTAAGAAACTATCAGGCATAGGATTATTTGCATAATTTTTTAGTCAGACACCCTAAAAGAATACACTGCTTTTACCTTAATATGCTGACATATTTAACACATCTTAGAGCAATAATTATGAGGCCAACAATTGAGATAATGAGTAAAACTGGTAATTTCTAAAGGTCTTAAACTTTAAGAACTTTAGAAAACTTATAAAAATTATGCCAGATTAAATGGCAGCTTTTAGGGGTTGCAATATATTTCTGTGTACACTTTTAAAGTATCAACTGATTAACACTTATGTTATCACAGAATTCATACTTGCACACACATTAATGGTATTAATAGTTTCATATATGACATCATTTTACCAAGCTATAAATTAAAGAACAGAAATTCTTAATGTTTCAAAGTATCAGGGCACATAGCTTGCCCACCTAAAATTTTTGAGAGCCTCGACTTCTGATACCCCTCCAGAAAATCTCTGCTGTATATTTTATTGTGCCTACCTGCCAAAATTAAGCACTGTGAAACACCACATAAGAAAAACACATTCACTGAGTTTCAGAGGGTAAAGTTCATCTTCTGGCTAAGCAAAATGGGTTACCTGAGGTTACTGGAGGAAGAAGAGGACAAAGAGGAAGTAAAAGGGGTAGATGTGTCCTCCTTTAAGTACTATTAATCCTCCAACCTTAAATTTAGGAGAGTGGATAAGTTTAGTAACCCGAGAGGATCTATCGCTATGCAAAGTTCTCCTCTTTTATTTGATACAGTGTTCCTTGGGAACATTGTAAGAATAACTACATTGGACAGTAATATTACAAAGCAGACACCTGCCCCTCCAACCCCCCAAAGGGAGGAAAGAAAGTCAAAAACAGTTGGTTGAGAAGTAACATTACCTTTTCAGTGGGTACTTATTTAATGTGAGGAAATACTCCCTCTCCTAAACTGCCCTTGAAACTTGCTTTGCATAGAGAAAAACACATATACAGATAGGCTTAGTTCTTTCAATTTTAG